CTAATTGACAGGTGGCGGTGGTGGATTTAGTTTGGAAGGCAGAGAAATGAGAAGTGGGAAGTGCTTTGGAAGTGCAGCATATGGATTAAATGATGTCGATGGTTGTGCGGTTTTGGTGGTTGTGGTGATCGTAACTATTAATATGTTAATTGTAACTTTCTGTGACTAAATTTGTGTTTATTGTGATCAAGTTTTCACTGTGATAGATTGTGATTGTATGTGACCAAATTTACAGTAATTTGGTCACTTACCATTATAATTAAGATTGATCTAATCACAAAAAAACTTAATGAACACAAACTTGGTCACAGTTGATCACAACTAATTGATCATGAATACTTTTCACCCCATCCCAACAAATCCAGCCAGCATTAATACATGTACGACCACCATTTATGATAACCACTACTTAAGTTAGAATCAATAACTTCAAAAAATAGTATAAACCCACTGAATGTGATATTCAATTGAAAATCTGCAATTAATTTTGCATGACGTAAGGGAATGTTTGGCCGGCAACGGTGACAATTCATTATCTAATTGCCCAAAATTAGTCGATCTTACAAGATTGATTGTTTGGCCTAGCTGGGAAGGGGTGATTAGCAGAAAACAAAATTGCTAAGATATAGATTCCGGTCAGGACGAATGAAAGCGATACCTCACATCATGGAATGCTATTTCTTCTTCCTTTGAAATCAAAAAATTGGTTCAACATCAACTCCAATCTTCTTTCCCGGCCTGATTCTTTCCTTGAGCGTCATGATATCTTATTTGAATTCAATATATTGGTATTGAAGCTTTGCAAGTTCAATATTGATAGAATTGTAATACATATATTTTTTTATTAGTTATATAATAAGTTGTCCAAAAAAATGCATAATTTGATTTGAGTTTAAGATATTTTTTTTTCTTTCAAATATATTTATCTTTAATTCATATGATATTTACCCTTGTCTAACATTAAATACATAATTTTTATCGTTACTTGCATTTCTCATAAAACTTGATTCGATCAAGAAAACACAAATCCTAATTGAATTGTATGAGAGCCTGTTTCATATAATTTTTAAAAAGTCAAAAGTTACTTCTAAAATTAAAAAACTACTTTTAAAAATAAAAATAAAAATCTTGTCAAACATATTCTTAATGAATCTTGAACTTTATAAAAAAACTTTCTTTTCTTTTTATTTTTTTGAACCCACCCAATCAAATATCACTACTTCTAACATTCTCCCGATTGAATTTATATTATATTTTGACATAAATGGTTGCAACTCCGAATCGAATCTGGGCACATAGTTTGCTTGCACCGATTTTAACGGCAAATAAACCGGTTTTATGGACGTTTTCAACACACACTAAATTTATTCCACTTTGTTGCATGATTAAAAATATTCATTATAAAAAAGATAAAATATTTACTCCATCAGGCAAAACAATTCACAAGGTGCTACCAAAAAAATAATAATAATAATCATAAGGGTAGTAGTAAAATACCCTACTTATTATCCAAGAAGGGCATACATTAAGTGAATGTTTGATTTGTTAAATTAAATAAGATGTGATATTGAACAAACGTCTAAATATCTTTCATCTTTGACCATTTTCTATGAGGTCTTTTGAAGACCTAACTTCGAAAATGGTAGGGAAAAAAAAATAAAGAAATATCTTTGCTTTTAGTAGAGAGAGTTAATAAAATACTTCTTAGCATGATCAAAAATATTGGAAGATAAGATGATGAACATTAAAAAAACAGACCACCGGCCCATAAAGTCTTAGAGCATGCTTGGAAAATCTTAAAATTATGTCAAATTTATTTTTAAGCAAATATTTTGCTTCCAAGAATGCAAATATGTTGCCGTTTTTCTCCTTGTTCTTACCAGAAAAATGTACTTATTTGATAATAAAGCACGAGATATTTGGAAAATGAATAATGCTATTTAATATCACTGGTGTTAGATGACACTAAATGTAATTGAATGGAAAGTACAGTTAAATGAATCATACAATTTCATCTTTAAATGAGCATATTACGTAATGCTACATAGACTGATTCTGGATAGCATTATTCTTTAGAAATATGTAACAACTTCCCCAACAAAAGGAATTATTTGTTTTACAATTACAACTCACTTATTTACATGCAAGTAAATATTTAAGCTTAGCCGAGCATGCACTAAGAACAAAATAAATAGTGCTCTATGATGACTCAAGTTACCTTCATTTAACTATATATAGAAACAAGGATACTGTACAAATTGTTGAATCATCGACCTTATCAAATTAGATGCATTCAATTCTCAAAAGTAGAATATAAATGCAGTAAGTTTCGTTGGTTTATGTATCAGTCATTGAGTTTGGTATGACTCGACAACAGAATGATAGATTATCGTCAGAATCTTCTTAAGTTTATACCAATTCAACTGTTAGCTTCATGTTTTTAAGTTATAATTCTACAATCACCTTCATAGTTTAACAATCATGTACCGAAAAAATAAAAAATAAAAAATAAAATAAATAAATAACTTTCTCCAAAGTTATAGATCATGAGAATTTTCCCATATAAGGAAATGAAAATGACAAAATCCATGTATTATTGTCTCATATGTGCAATCTAATGCAGTTTGACGGGTGAATCTAAACTCCCCTTATCCTTCTTACTAAAGAAAGCTTGCTCGCTCTTTATTTGTCGATTTGCAAGTCTTATATCATGATTAATCATCATTTTGAAGATTGCATCTTTGTCCTATCCAAGGATGCACTTGAAATTAGGTCATACCTGCATGATCGAGGGCTGGTGCAGTTTGCGGATAAGCTGGAGTCCTCGGGGAAATGTCTTCCTGATCTTGTCAGCTTGTCAACTATGGATCTTACATCTCAGTTGGGAAATAAAAGGGGCCATATTGCTCGTTTCATGGACCAAACCAATGCATGTGGTACAGAACCTTTACCAGCATCATTCTATCCCAGAAAGCAAAAGAATCACCGTTCCTTTAAGAAATAATAGATTGATAGTATGTATACGAGTGAGCTTTCGTTTGTTAATTCAAGTAAACTGCAGAGTATGACCAAATCCCATGGAAGAAGCAGTGAAGCTCATGATTTATCCCTAGAGCAATCCAGGGCCAGTTCTAAGATCAAAGATGGGCATGTGTATAAGGGAATTGTGACTGTCCCTGCAGAACGTAAAGCATGTGGGTGTGTACAACCTCATGAAATAGTTGAGAATGTAGACCCTTATTGATGCAGCACCAACAGGACCATTAATTGCAAATTAGAATAGGTCTATGGAGAGAGGGAATTAGAGAGAAGAAAGGGGACGGGGATTCAACTGAAGGGAAGAAAGAAAATAGGAAGAAAGGAATGCGCTATAAGCCACCAAAATATTATTCATTCATCGACTGAAAATTACAATACAAAATAGGTTTAAATAGTAAAGTAACCCTAATGAGATTGGGCCCGAGCCCATACAAGTCCAAATTTTAAATAATAGTCCAAAAATAAATAAAGCTTAAATAAAATAAGTAAACGTCCAATGTCCAAATCAACTCTCCCGGGGTGGGAGAAAACTCGACCCTGTCGAGTGGATATATCACTATAGGCTGTCATCAATCTCCCAACCATAAGCTGAGTGCTTCTTCCGGCGTCTATAAAAATGTGTCAGTGGAGGTCTGAACCTGGTGTCCTCACCAACTCCCCTTGGGTGAACGGGAGGCGATCTAGGCCAAAGAAGATCCTGCTGACTCCCATAAAGCTCCAATAAATCTGGATCCAATTGTTGTAGTGTCTCTCTGGAGATCTATGTACAATCAGAATCTGGTCGACCATCCCAACAAACGAGGAAGCGCTGAACCTCTCCATCATTAGTAAACACAGTTTCTTCATCTAAAATAACATTAATTTTATCTGTGCGTGTTGTGAGAGGTGATAGGGGATTAGAAGTGGCCAAATAGTCGGGATTAAGGTCTATAAAATGAGGTAATAAAGGATCATCTGAGAGAATGAAATAACCTCTATAAGCTACTAGGTCCTCAACATTGAAAGTAGAATGGTAACCAAGATGTGGTGAAATGTTAACAACATGGGCATTTAGACCAACTTTCTTTAAAATTTTAAAAGGGCCAGCACTACGAGCTTGCAATTTGGAGGCGGGTCTATGTAGACGCCGCTCTAGCCTAATGCGGACCATAACGTAATCTCCAACGTTAAACTCAATATGTCGATTATGCAAATCAACTTGGAATTTATATTGTGCATTACTAGCTTCAAGTTGTTTATTGATCTCAATATGCAAATCATGAAGATGTGTAAATGTTTCGGCTGACACTAACACTCTAGCCTGTGGGGACATAGGGATGAGATCTAACGGTTTCCTAGTCTTGTACCCATGAATGGCTTCAAATGGACTCATATCTAATGAACGATTTATGGAGCTATTATACGCAATTTGAGCGACAGGAAGGATGAAATCCCAATTTCGAAGATTCTCCCGAACCAGACAACGTAATAGGTTACCAAGACTTTGATTAACTACTTCAATTTGACCGTCAGTCTGAGGGTGGTAGGCTGTAGAAAATTTCAATTTGGTACCCATCTTTTGCGACAAAGTCCTCCAAAAATGGCTAGTGAAACGAACATCCCTATCGAACACAATTATCTTAGGAAGCCCATACAATTTAACAATCTCATTAAAGAACAACATAACCACCTTAGACGCATCTGAGGTTTTGCTACAAGGGATAAAATAAGCCATTTTAGAAAAACGGTCGACAACCACAAAAATAGAATCATGTTTCTTTGGGGTGCGTGGAAGGCCTAATACAAAATTCATACTAACATCTTGCCAAGGACAATTGGAGATGGGAAGAGAGGTGTATAGGCCTGTGTTCTGCTTCTTCTGTTTACTCAATTGACAAGTGTTACAAGCACTAACAATCTTAGCCACGTCTTTCTTCAAGCTAGGCCAATAGAATTGACATTCAACTTCCTCTATGGTCTTATCATGTCCAAAGTAACCGGCTACCCTCCGCATGAACTTCCCACACTATGAAATCTCGCACTGAAGTTCGAGAGATGCACAATTTATTGGCTCTAAAGAGATAACCCCCCTCAAGGCAGAAGCCATCTTTGGCGGCTGATTGTCCCCTTTGTAAATCAAGAAAGATATCTTTAAAATCGGGACATGCCTCGTAATCTTTCTTAAACCTTTCAAAACCGATGACCTTGACACTCATGATCGACAAAAGGGAGACACGACGACTTAATGCATCAGCTGCTTGGTTTTCCACGCCCTCCTTTTTGTTTTGAAACAAATGAGTAGGCCTGCAAATATTCGACCCAACGACCATGCCTAGAGCTTAATTATTTTTGGGAGTTGAGGTAACAGAGGGCCTCGTGATCCGAATAAAAGACAAATTCCTGGGACAACAAATAGTGGCGCCAATAGCGCAAAACCTAGACTATCGCATACAGTTCCTTATTATAAGTTGAGTACCATTGTTTGGCTTCATTTAACTTCTCACTGAAGTAGGCAATAGGGTGACGATCTTGACTCAAGACTCTGCCTATACCTACCCCGAAGGCATCACATTCAACTTCAAAGACTTTGAAAAAGTCGGGAAGACGCATAACAGGAGCCTCCGTCATTCTCTTCTTGACTAACTTAAAGGCCTTAGCCGCCTTTTGTGTCCAATGAAACTCCCCTTTCTTCATGCACTCCGTGATAGGCGCCATAATAATGCTAAACCCCTTGATAAAGCGACGATAAAATGTAGCTAAGCCGTGAAAGCTCCTGACTCCATGAATAGCTTTAGGCTCAGGCCAGTCAATAATAGCTTGAACCTTAGCAGGGTCAACAGATACTCCTGTCGAAGAGACAATGAACCCCAGAAAAACGACTGTATCAGTGAAGAAAAAGCACTTCTTGACGTTAGCATACTGATTAGTTACACGAAGGGTAGAGCAAACTTGTGTGAGGTGGTCACAGTGCTGCTGCTTAGTCTTACTATAGATGAGGATATCATCAAAGTAGACAACAAGAAACTTACCTATGAAAGGTCGAAGAGTTTGCGTCATTACCCGCATAAAGGTACTTAGCGCATTGCTTAGCCCAAAAGGCATGACCAGCCACTCATAAAGACCATCTTTCGTTTTAAACGCAGTCTTCCACTCATCACCTGGGCGAATTTGAATCTTATGGTATCCACTCTTCAAATCAATCTTCGAAAAGATTGTGGCACCAACCATCATATCCAACATATCGTCAAGTCTAGGAATGGGAAAACGATACTTCATCGTGATCCTATTGATCGTACGACTATCCACACACATCCTCCAAGAACCGTCCTTTTTGGGCATCAATAGGGCGATGACAGCATACGAGCTTAAACTCTCACGAATGAATCCTTTGTGAAGGAGGTCATCCACTTGCCTTTGAAGCTCAGCGTGCTCGGTAGGATTCGTCCTATAATGAGGCAAATTTGGAAGGGATGCCCCTGGGACGAAATCCATGGCATGTTGAATATCCCGTAGAGGAGGTAGATGATCAGGTAGGTCCTCCGGAAAGGCATCTCGAAACTCTTGGAGGATTGACTGGACTTCAACAGGACTCTCTATGGTGGAGTGGGGTAAAACCTCCATGACCACCAAAGCGAACACAATTGAGTCACCAACAAGTGTACGCTCAAACTCCGTAGGACTAATGATATGCAATCCCTTTTGTTCCACACTCTTCTTCGTTTCCAGTGGGCCAACAGGATTTGGGGGTAAAGGGTTAAGGTGAATCTTCTTTCCATTAAACAGAAGGAGTAGGAATTAGATCGACCATAGATGGTTATATCTAGGTCAAATAACCAAAGTCGTCCCAAGATGATGTGCCCGACGTCCATTGAAATGACGTCACACCATATATGGTCCTTATACTCGAGAAATTGGATAGAGACTAAACAACACTCCTTGACAACTATAGAAGAGGTGTCAACCCAAGAGACACTGTATTGCTGAGGGTGAGGAACAGACTTTAACCCTAGATGGGATACAGTAGCCATCGAAACCACATTAATGTAGCTGCCACCATCTACGATAACTTTACAGCACTTGTTATTAATCTTGATGTAAGTGTGGAAGATGGCATGACGGCACCAATCATCGGCATCCCTAGGCTGGGTAAGAATGCAATGGACGACACCAACTCTAGGTGTATGTGGAATAAGGGGACTAGCCTGAATACAACCTAAGAAGGTATCTTCACTATCCTCCAAGTCATCAAACTCTTCTAACTTAGGCTCATAAACCTGGTCCTCTAGTGGTTCGTCGACAATACCTTCAGGCTCTTCCATAACTAGGGCTCGGCTAGGACACTTAGAAGAAATGTGACCAAAACCCTTACAGTTGAAGCATTGCACACGAGAGGACGTTCTTGAAACCTCAGAACCTCGACCTTTGCTATCCGATGTGGGGGTAGTATTAGAAGGAGGAAGTCCTAGAATAGAGTTAGGGGATGGAGTGGATGCAGAAGAGGTTGCAGTGCGGGAGTCACTACGATTTTTATACTGTGTCCTGATCACTAACTCGTAATCCCGAACGAAAGAGTAGGCGTGATCGAGAGTGGTGACGCCTCTAAGGACAAGCTCACGTCTAAGATCATCCCTTAGGTCTTGCCTAAACCTACTCAAAGTCATGACCTCATCCTCAACGACTTGACATCCAATTCGAAACTCATCAAACTGAGCAAGATATTCGGTCACAGGTCGATTGCCTTGCGTAAGTGCGTTCCATTGATCTAACAAGTTACCCCTGTAAGATTGAGGTAAATATTTTTCTTGAAGGCGACGCTTCATTTCATCCCAGCTCCCAACAGGGGGAGCATAACGCCTCTCTAGAAGGTCCTCAACACTTTCCCAAAAAAGTTAAGCAGTGCCAATTAATTTCAAACTGGCAAATTGTACCCTTCGATCTTTCGGAACCCCATATCAGGCAAAGAAGCGATCCATATCTCTAACCCATTGATTGAATACACTAGGATCTAGACAACCATCAAATGTAGGGCATCTAATTTAATATTTCGAAAGAGGCACTCCTCGTGGTGAGGGGGAGATAGTGTACCATGACGGTGATATTCTTGCACGCGTCCACGAGCTAGATTTCCCTCACTACGATCATGTCTGGCGTGGTGTCGACCACCTTGTGAACGACGATGAGGTCTATTAATGGAAGCGTCAGAGTTTTCAGCTTCAGTTGAGTATGGGGTTGGGTCAAGAGTGTTCAACCTAGCGGTTAGAGCTCTTGTTGATTGATTTTGTAATTGTACCAACTGTCGGGTGAAAACTTTAATTTGAGAAGGGTCCATGGCAAAGGTACTAGCACTAAACGCATTAACACGACCACTACGCAATTGCATACACGGTAACACTAGCTAATATTGTAACTGATGCAATTTTAAAATGAAGCAACGGTATAAACGAAAGATAGATAAGAGTAGTGACTCCCTGCAGTTCAGCTGTGACTCCCAGTATTCCGATTGGTTTGAATTGCCACTGTGTGGGACCCCAGGTATGCTTCTGTTCTATCCCTTGCTTCAGTTGCCTTCAACTTCAGAACTCCTCCTGCTGAATTTGTGATGCATGCTGGTGGAATGGTACAAATATCAGCCAATTCCACAAAAATTGCCTCTGACGAATCTGAATTCCTTTGAATTTGGGTTGATGTGTATATTCTTGCCAATCGAATAGAGGCCAATAGGTGCAAAGGCAAAGATAAGAAGTCAAATCGAGAATCCAAGAAGGGCAGCTTGTTGTAGGTGTTCAATAAAAATCTGGGATCGTGTTGAGCTTGGCAGAGATACGAGTGGCGACGGCGCTCATAGGTGTGTTGTATTGTGACTTGAGAATGGCAGTTATGGTTATGCGACTAACTTGGACGAACGGTCGACGAGAGGGGAGAGTCGAACTTTTGGTGTGTGAGTGTAGAGAAGAAATCGAGATGGTCGTGCGTAGTAGACGAGGGTGGAGGTCTTTTGGTAGGTTGTGGCAGCGGGCGACGGCGTCTGGGAGAAGGGCCAGTTCAGACAGAGACAAGTTTGAAGTGCATGCTTTGTGGTAGATTTGTTGTTGGCGATGGAGTGTGTGAGTGATGATTTGGGGCTGCGCCGGTGATGCCGGCGGTGTTGAAGAGTAGGGTCGTTGGTGCGAGTGGGTTGAGAAGAAGGGAGATAAAGCCGACGCTGAGATGTCGGGAAGACAGAGGCGTGGTGATGGTTGAAGGATTGGGTCGAGTCGTAAGAGAGTTTAAATGGTTGAATAATGGGCTAATGTGGGTGTTGGGCTGTGAGCTACGGGTTGAGTGAGTTTGGGATTGGGGTTATGGGTTGGTTTTGTATGTGGGCCAATATTTGAGAATTAGGGTTAGAACAACACTTTAGTAGCAGCAGCAATGAAAAAAAATTTCTCTCTAAAATTTTTTTTTTTTTTAATTGTAAAAATTCTAAATTGAAATTTCGGGTGTGAATAGTACCCGTGAACAATAGCGCGATTTTTTTTTTTTAAATGACGAAGAACTAAAAATAAAAAATGAAAAACGCTGCTTTTACGCTAAATCTATTTCAATTGGGTTGTTCCAACAAATTTTGGGAAGAGACAAGAAGAAATTTTGGATAGTAGGAAAGAAATTACCCAAAATTCGGCTCTGATACCAAATTTGATGCAGCACCAACGGGACAATTAATTGCAAATTAAAATAGGTCTATGAGGAGGGGGAATTAGAGAGAAGAAAGAGGACAGGAATTCAACAGAAGGGAAGAAAGAAAATAGGAAGAGAGGAATGCGCCATAAGCCACCAAAATATTATTCATTCATCAACTGAAAATTACAATGCAAAATATGTTTAAATAATCAACCAACCCTAATGAGATTGGGCTCGAGCCCCATACAAGTCCAAATTTTAAATAATAGTCCAAAAATAAATAATGCTTAAATAAAATAAGTAAACGTCCGATGTCCTCATCACTTATTCCGCGATTGAGAATATTTTGATTCACAAACTAACTCCAGAATATAAGATTGGAGTGGAGCATCTGGTGAAAACTAGAACACCTCCAATTAAAGCTTCAGAATTATGGCGTGAGAAACCAGCTATGCTCCTCCGCATCCGTCAACCCAGTATCATCTTATGAATATACTGCACTCGACATCAACTTACATTGTCAACTGTGCTTCCAACAAATCTAGAATTTCATGTACAGAGATGAAGCCCACCAACTACATTCCAAGAAACCTGTATTTGATACACTCAGGGTCCAATTATTTGCAGTACTTCATAAGCATATAGAATCTGAGGTATATTTTTAACTCACATGATAATGCATGGCAACTGGCTTATGGATGCTCAATTATATCAATAAAGGATGTCTGGCCCAGATACGGGGGTGAATTTGTGCTTTTTGACAGAGGCATGGTGTTTTTTAAAGCCCTAGGTAGGGGGAAGCTACTGAAAGAAAAGTTTATATCTGGTTTCCTATTCAACCCTAAAGCAATTGCAAATTATAAGAGAGCAAAGGCTTGGGAATAGACCAAAATTTCAAAGGTGAGGTAAAGGGTGGATTTTTAATAATTGGTAAAGGAAAGAATGGCATTGCTTACCAGTTCATTCAGAGAAACTTCAGCGATTGGGCACTGCTAGCTGAAGTCATAGAAATCTGCACTCGTTTCCAGGTAGTTTTCTAATGCCTTACTTCTTTCCTGTACAAAATGAATCATACTGAGCCATCTTTCACGCTCATGGAGAATCAACAGCAAAGTCAGTTGGAGTCTACAAAATCAATTTAAGAAGAGCTGCCAGGGTTCTAAAAGGAAGAGAGTAATTTGGCTTCTGTTTTTATAATATCGTACTCACTCCAACGTTCAAGTTCACAAACTCTTTGTAACTACAGGAACAATATATCAATAAGCAATCACGTACTTCATTTGTTTTGTGAGTTTCTTCTTCTTGATATGAATTATAGAGTTGCATCAAAAGGATGCATGATTTGTTTATTTTATCAGTCATGTTAAAGCTCGAGAAAGGTGAATGAATATGTTAATTATACTGTTCTATTAGGGACGTAAAACTAACTATTAAATATTCGTCTGTAGGCAGGCAAACACACCATATCCTAGATTTTTCGATCAACATTAAAAATTCAAAAGATAAAGGTTCATAAAATGGCATCTACATCAGTTTCCATCTGTGGAAACTAAAATGACTTAAAAAGATTGCAGCTAGTCAATCAGGAGATGATTGCATTTTATCACAGTAGAAAGAAAAAGTTATTTTGCATTTAAATTCTTAAGGTAGTAAAAGAGCTAAATAAACAAATTACAGTCCTATGATAAAACAACATTAATAGGAACTTTCATTTACAAAAGTTACAGCATGTTTTATGTTGACCAAACCAAATATAGTATGAAATGTCTGGTGTCCAATATCCTTCACCATCACTATGACTAATGATAAATCTTAGCAATCCGGTTAACAGACAAGTACTTTCGTTCAGTTTAATGTTGCAGAAGCTTCAAGCTACACAGGCACTGATTTAATATCTCTAATGAAAGAATACTATTTCTCCCTCATTGTGGTAGTATGAGTTAGAGCAAATAGAAAACATACCTTGTCTAGAAGAAACTTCAATAGTGTGGCTAGTTAGAATCTTCATACAAGTTGATGGAAGAGCAGCTCACTATTCCTTTAAAAGACACCAAGCCACTAGTTTTCTCCAGTAATCTGATAATCTTTCATGAGAAATTGGTAAAATTTTGCTCGCAAATGACCTAACTTATATTCCAAAAGGTGTTCAAGATCATGGCTCTAGCCATTTGCACGATATCTTAGAAGGTTTCAGTGTCCTCCCTGATATCTTTTAAATGCCAATAAAACCCACTACCAGAAATCTCCACAAGAACATTTTCCGTCTTTAAATAAATGGAAACGTACAGCATCTCTCACAAGAATCTCTCTGCTGGTGATCTTTGAAATTATTTTAGTTGCATTATGGCAGTCCACACATACTCGGAGATTTTTAACCACTTTTATAGGCAACCCAGGAGGAATAAATAGTAAACCAAATGCAATAGCCAGTTTTTCACTATGATAGTTTAGCATCTTTGTTTTCTCTGATTCTTCAACATCATGCAGAACAGAACTCGTGTCTGGAACATATCCCTCCTTTATCATTTTATAGTTTAATTTATCCATCTCTTCATATATCTGATTCGAAAATGGATTTGACTTGTCATCAGCTGAGAAAATGTGTACTACGTTCTTATACTTGATCCAACTAAATCCAGGTTCCTTTTTCACACCTTTATCCCTCATTCCTCTTCTTAGCTGAGACACCTGATCCCATTTCCCTTTAGCAGCATACATACTAGCAAGCAATACATAGCCAGCAGGATTGTGAGGATCCAATTCCAGAAGACATTCTGCTGCCCATCTCCCTATTTCCAGGTTACCACGATTTCTACATGAGCTTAATAATGTAGCCCAACCAATTGCATCAGGATGACAAGGCATTTTGAGTATGAATGTTCTTGCTTCTTCTAATTGTCCAGCTCGACTATACAGATCAATCATGCAAGTGTAGTGACCAAGAATTGGCATAATTCCATATTGTTCTGTCATTGACGCAAAATATTGACTCCCTTGCTCCACAAGTCCAGCCCTACTGCAAGCAGAAAGAACACCAATAAATGTAACTCCATCAGGTTGTAGACCATGAGCTAACATTTCCTCAAATAAACTAATTGTTTCTCTTGCTTTTCCAAATTGTGCATAGCCTGAAACTAATGCGCTCCAAGACACTTCATCCCTATACTTCATCTCATTAAACAAACGATGAGACTCTTCTATGCTGCCACATTTCCCATACAGTGTTACAAGTGCATTAGAAACCGTAATGAAGGAAATTAAGCCTGAAACTAGTGCTTGACCATGAAACTGGGCTCCCTCTTCCAAGGAAGCAAGATTAGCACAAGAGCTAATCACACTTCCTAGAGTAAAATCATCTGGCCAAATCCCATCTCTCTGCATTTCGCAAAAAACTCGAACAGCTTCCTCACTGTACCCATTCTGGCCATAACCGACTACCATGGCAGTCCAAGATACAATATTTTTGTGGATCATTCTCCTAAAAACTGTTTCTGCATTTTTAATGCTTCTACACTTAGAGTACATGTCAACTAGGGAACTGCCAACAAAAATATTGTCCACATAATCAGTTTTAATTATATAAGCATGAATTTGATTGCCTTCTCCCAATGCCACAAGACCTCCACAAGCAGTCAAGATGCTGCCAAAAGTAAATTGATCTATATCGAAGTCTTTAAACCTCATTTCACGAAACAGATCCACTGCTTCTTTTAACAATCCATTCTGTGTGAGCCCTGTAATCATTGTAGTCCAAGTAATTGAGTCCTTCTCAGGCATACCCCTAAACAAATGCTCAGACTCTCCCACCATCCCACACCTCATAAAACCCATAATCATCGTATTATACATAACCAAATTTCTCTCAGGCAACTCATCAAATACGCGTTTTGCCTCACATATCAAACCACATTTAGCATACATGTCCACCAACGGACTTCCCACAAAAACATATGACTCAAACCCGCATTTCACTATTAGCCCATGAATTCCCCTACCCAAATCAACCCAACCCTTGTTTGACAACATTATAATCATAGTGGAAAGCGTAATTCTATTCAAATTCACCAATCCATTTCTTAACATCAACTTATAGGCCTCCAAAGCCTTATCACTCAATCCAGAATCCACATACCCCGATATTATCAAGTTCCAAGAAACCCCGTCTTTCTTGGGAGACGAATTAAATATTTCTCGCATTTTTACAACATCTCCAGATTTCGAGTAAGCAGAGAGAATGGTGTTCCACGAAAAGAGGTTTGGTCTAGTTATTTGATCGAACACATGGCGTGCATATGTAATTCTCTTCAGCTTATAGTACGCATTTATGAGGTTGTTAAGCAAAAAGGTTTCTGGGTTTGCTACGGTTTTGACTATGCTAGCATGTAGCCCTTTCGCTTGGTGTAAATTACGAGTTTCGCAGCATTGTTTCAGTAGCGAACAGTAGTGGTTGGAAATGTGAGACATTGTGCTTGTTGAAGGGCGGTTTTGACGGGAGAGTATGTAGAGTGAGGTTTGGTCTAGTTATTTGATCGAACACATGGCGTGCATATGTAATTCTCTTCAACTTATAGTACGCATCTATGAGGTTGTTAAGCAAAAAGGTTTCTGGGTTTGCAACGGTTTTGACTATGCTAGCATGTAGCCCTTTCGCTTGGTGTAAATTACGAGTTTCGCAGCATTGTTTCAGTAGCGAACAGTAGTGGTTGGAAATGTGAGACATTGTGCTTGTTTAAGGGCGGTTTTGACGGGAGAGTATGTAGAGTATTCATTAAATTAGCTTCATAAGCCGAGATTGTAGCAACAGAGATTATAGCAACAATGGAGGAAATTGTTTCAGTGAGGCTTAACTGTGTCTTACCCCAACTCTCTAGGATTTCTAAACAGACATTCCTAGACGAGTTAATTTAATCCCTGCTCGCTAACATTTGGGTATGGTTAGTACTTGCTCGCCCTAAAATAAAATGTTAGCGGCTACTCACTCACTTTTACAAAATGTTACCCATCCATAAACTGTTTGTTTCCATCCGCCTATGTGGACAAAAAATTAATACGTGGCGGATGAAAATCTTAAGTGTCAATTAACCCTGTTAATTTTTGCCAACTGGGATTTGAACTCAAAATTTTCCTTCCATTTAATTGTAAATCACGTTTATTCCCTCAATTCCCAATTCTTTACAAGCCCTAGCAGTGAACCCATCTCTTCTCCTCCAACAAAGTGCCAAACTTGTTCTTTGGGAAGAGGAACATGAGTGACCCACAAGACCCACTAATGGCAAGCATTGAAGAATCCATTTTGGAGACAATGGAAGAGGGCCCACAGGGAGGTAAAATTTTTATGTTTCACGTGATTCTTTTTTGCCTCGACAAGATTGTATTTTGGGTTTCACGTGAATTTTTTCCCTCATTTAATCCATGCTTTTCAGATTAGTGTCGTTTTTCACAACCTCAGACATTTCATATTACTCAATTGATGTTTATTTAATCCCCACCATCAGCCTGTGGCAATTTTAAACAATCTGTAAATTTTCTAAAAACATATTCTTTTTAATATGACTATACCAATTATACCAATGCCAATTTATAGATTTACAACTTATTGCCCCCAAGAAAGCAAGTATAACTCATTCTGAAAAGTAAAATATTGACAACCCAATTAAACTAGATGTGAAGTAAAATTAAAAGGCGGTAACTTTGGAGTATTCTAATGTTTCTCGTGATATGTGGCAAATCTGATACACTAATGAGCTAGTGACCCATTTTTTCCTTAACACTTAACAATATGACAGTCACACTTATAAATATTCATATTTATAGCAGTCTACAGCTTTATAAAATTTTATATTACTTGAAGTTTATCAATATGCTCAGTATCTATATTGTAGTCATTGTAGAGTTAAATACTCATGATGCTTTGATACTTAACTTTGCAGATAATACATTTGAAGATGACGTAGTACCCATTGAATGTCATTTGAGTGATTCAGAAGATGATGTCAACGATGATGGTTTTCAAGTTGACAATAATGCAAGTGAACATATTTTGGTTGGATTGAATGCAAACCCTATCCTCGATCTTCAGGATATTGGGGAAAAAGAATTGGGATCAGATGATGGCTAATGTCCAAGTGAAGAGGATTTGCACACCGATTATTCTTCCAATGAAGAAAACACTTATCATTTCCCGGTATATGATCCAGAGAATGAGATGTTAGATCCTAAGCTAGAGGTAGGAAAACAATTTTAAAATATAGAGGAGTTTAGGCAAGCAGTTAGGAATCACGGTGTAGCAACTAGGTGCAACTTTAAGTTTAGGCCTAATGATGAGTTTAGAGTCCAGGCCATTTGTAAATTAGGTTGTACATGGAGGATATGGGCATCATGAAATAAGAAAAAGGGGCAGATAAAGTCTAAAAATTCAAAACATACATGCATGAGGGATAGAACAAATAGACATTGCACTGCCAAATACATAGCAAAGAGGTATTTAGAAACCTTCAAAGTAGACCCTGATTGGAAATCTAAGCTAATTATGAAGGCTGTAAAGGACGATCTCAAGTTGACAATCAATAGAGTTACGGCATGGAGGAGTAGAAGATATGCTAGGGTAATGATACAGGGATCTGATGAGCATCAATTTGGATTGCTTAGGTCTTTTGCCGCTGAAATTTTGAGAACTAATCCGGTGTCTACATGCATTATTGCCATGCATGCTTCAAAGTTTCAAGGAATATATATATATATATATGTTTAGAAACTTGCAAGAGAGGGTTTTTGGCCGGTTGTAGGCAACTTTTAAGGTTGGATGGGTGTTTCTTGAAGGGGACATTTGGAGGGTAGATGCTTGTAGCAGTAGCATTAGATGTCAATGATTGTATTTACCCAGTAGCATATGCCATAGTGGAGAAAGAAAATGCCACTACATGGAGATGGTTTATACAACATTTGGGTAAAGATTTGAAAATTTCGAATAGCAATGAATGGACTTTTATGACGGATAGACAAAAAGGTTTACAAAATGTGATAGAAGATTTATATCCCGAGGCAGATTATAGGTATTGTGTTAGACACATGTACACCAATTTCTTCAAAGCCGGTTTCAAGGGGTTGATTCTCAAGGAATACTTATGGAAAGCTACGAAGTCAACAACAGTGCCCGATTGGATGTTTTGGATGGGTGAGATTGAAAAAGAAAGTCTTGCAGCACATGATTGGTTAAAGAAAAGGCACTCTAGTGAATGGAGCAAGGCTTATTTTCTTACAAAGGTGAAAAGTGACATACTTTTGAATAATCTATGCGAAGTGTCAACAACGTAGTGTTGGAAGAAAGAGAGAAATCCATACTGACATTGTTGATTGATTTGCATATAAGTTTCATGAAGAGGATACAAGCAAGGAGAGATAAGATGAAGAAAGTCATAGGGCCTTTATGTCCTAAAGTGCAACAAAAATTGAAGACGTCCGTTGAGTTAGTAGAGATATGTGAGGTTGATTGGTATGGAGGGACACAATCTTACGTGAAATGTAAAACTGGAGAATATGTTGTTGATCTACTGAACAAGACGTGTGCATGTAGGAGATGGGATTTATCGGGAATTCCTTGTACTCATGCAATTGCTTCTATTTTTGATAGAAGAGATGAGCCTTGGAAGCATGTACATGAGTGTTACAAAGTGAGCACATATATGAGTTGTTATCAGAATATAATCAATCCTATCAACGGAACAAAATTATGGCCTCGAGTAGATGCCCCCTAGTGAAACCACCAGAATGGTGTTTACCTAAAAGCGGAAGAAAACAGAAGAAGAGACGAAGACAGGAAGAAGAAGATGTTTTAACTCGTTCTGGGTCCAAAGCAAAGTTGAATAAAAAGGGTACCATGATTATTACATGTAGTTTATGTGGATTAATAGGCCATAACAAGAGGTATCATCAAAAAACTAATGCACCCCAGGTTAGTTTTTAGTAAAATCTACATTGTGTTTTTTATTATTTTCCAGACTATATGAACTATTGATCTTCATGTAAATGTTTTTTAGGATTGGTATTATGGGGTAGCAAATCCTGCAAATAAAGGAAGCACCAGCCATGTTCGGAGTAAAAGCTCAAGGGTAATGAAGTTCATCCTAATATCGTCCATTAATAAACATGTGAAATAATTTTCTTAATCATACATGACAACTTATACAGGCAAAACTCGTGCCTAGGAGACCATCAAGTATGCCCATACCTGGAGTGCAACCACCAGTACCAGCATCTAATTTCCAATTCATGCCAACCCCTGGAATTTGTATAACTAATGGAGCACACATTACAGACTATGGTGGAAGACTTGGTGGGAGACCTGAAGTGCAACCACCAGTACCAGCTCCACTTGAATCCTTGGTGGAAGACTTGCAATTGATAGAAAACCAAGAGAAAGAAAGAAAGAGGGCAGCCCTTGCAAAAAAGAAAAAGACTGTTCGAGGCTCAATTCCATTTACAATTCCAAGGAAGAATTCAGCAACTCAGTAGCGTTATCATTTTGTTTCGTGGTCATATTTTGGGTTTTGAGGCAACAAATGAAGAGACACTGATGTATTTTGTTTCTTTTTGGTACACCAGTTGAATGCTATGATTGGAAATTTGGAAATCAATTTGGTGTAATGTTGAACTTAACCAGATGCAGTTAGAATGTTGAATTCCAATAATACTTGTTATTGCTATGTTGTTAATGTTGAATTCCAGTATGTTCTATACAAAATTTGGTTCCACTTCCATTTGGCTTACTGTTTATACTTGATGCAGGATGGCTTATTGTCTATTCTTGTATAAAAAAACAATAAACATTATTATAAATACTGATGCACTTATGTAATTTCCAGCCAAGATGAACACAAAAGAACCCATTTCATTTGAAATTGTAAAATACATCAGGTTTCCTTTGATGATTTCACAACCATCAATACTAATACACCTATATTACAACCATTGAGCTTAGATAGAACACCAAAAACATTCCTACAACCTACCAACTACATAATCAAAAAACCACAGCATCCTATTCACTTTTCCATCAATTTCCTATCTACGATCAAATTTCATTTCTTGATGAGCAGTAAGAAGCTTTAACTGTTGATTCTTCTACAGACTGCATCTCCTTGCATGTGATAAAATAGATCACTTAGTATTAATTTGTGCAATTCTTTTCCTGCAGGCATTTATCCTCTCCTTGACTCTTTCATCTTCCTGCTAAAAACATAAACCAGAACATAAAATTTACTGAATTTTTATCTTCCTGCCAAAAAAAGTGAAAAACTCTTCTTTCTAAAGCATTGTTCCCATGTAAGTAGTGCCTTTAATTGTCACTACCTCCATGTAACAATCAATAAAATAGAAGGAAAAAAACAACACACAATTAAAAAAAGCCGTAGAAGAAAATAAATGCATAGGCGATTTCGAGTGATCTCGGTTCCTTCTTTGCTTGCCAGAAATCGATCAAAATAGTTAGGAGAAGAAACAAGGTCACAGTTTAAAGGTTATTCCTTTTTTTGATTTCGATTTAGAGATAGTTTCTTGATTTTGAGAGAAATCGGCTTGTTGGAGGAGAAGAGATGGGTTCACCGGGACTGCTAGGGCTTCTAAAGAATTGGGAATGAGGAATAAACGTGTTTTACAATTAAATGGAAGGAAAAAGGAGAGTTCAAATCCCAGTTGGCAAAAATTAACAGGGATAATTGACACGTAAGATTTTCATCCGCCACGTATTAATTTTTTGTCCATATAGGAGGCTGGAAGCAAACGAGTGATGGATGGATAACATTTGTAAAAGTGAGTGAGCAGCCAGTAATATTTTATTTTAGGGTGAGCAAGTAGTAACCATACCCAAATGTTAGTGAGCAGGGATTAAATTAACTCATTCCTAGACTAATCCTTATTTTCACATTAACCCTTGATCAATTTTTAAAAAAATGATAAAATGATTTAGATAAATAAATAGACAAACTTTCATAGAGAGAGAGAGAAGGAAAAAAATTGAAAAAAAGGGAATTTTTTTTCAAAAATCACACAGTTGACTGTTAAGGTCGGATCCCGTCGCGCTCCAAATCACCACCACCATAGAAAGTTTCTTAGAACAAGGTAATTTTTCCATATCTAAACTTTTGATTTTCCATTTGAATTTGTTTTTTAATTTGTGGATTATATGTTGTTATTATTTATGTAAAATCTTCATTATTGGTAATTTAATTATTGTTTATCCAATGGGTTTAGCTCGCCTACGAGATCTACCAACTGTCTAGAGTTGACTAAGCCGACTTTGGAAGCCGGCTCTTTGTTTTATTTCTTTTTTTTTTATTTCTTTTGTTTTTATTATAATTTATTTAAATTTCTTTTTTTGAAATTATTTTTAATTTCTTTTGTAATTTGATTTAAAATTATTTTTAATTCCTTTCGTTTCATGATAAAACATAATTTTTTCCATTCAAATTAAACATTAATTATTTTTAATTTTAAATACTTTATAATAGATTTTTTTTCCGTCCCTTTATCTTTTTTTCTTTTTTTCCTTTCTTTTTATTTCTCTTTTTTTTTTTGTTTTATCTTTTATTTTCTTTTGTTCAATTTGTTTTGTTTTTATTATAATTTTTGTTTTAACCAAATGAGCAAATTTCTTTTTTAAAATTTTTCAGTTTAAAATTCTTTAATTTTAATAATTTCTTTTTGTTTAAATTTGTGTATATACATTAAAATTATTCTATAATTAATATTATTTTACGCATATATACATTCCAGTAATCGTAAATCATCACTACATTGCTCTGGATATTGCATTCGTTGACTCAACGATATATGTGCACGATCCCGATCACTCATGTCTAACACCGGGACAGGTCAAGCTGAATTTGGAGCCGGTGGTTGTGATCATTCATTTGATGGATAGACAGGCAAATTTAACTATACAAGACAGACTAGCCATTGGGCGGGACACGACGACAACTAGACAATTCACATCGTAAGTGATTGTAAATTTATTTTTAAATTTATAGATTAGTTTTTATGTAATTGGAACTGAATTAACACATTATTATTAATTTATAAGGGCGATTGTGATATTTTCGCAATCGAGTACATTGAATTTTTTAGTATGGAACATAAAGTTGATGAAATCAACTAATTATGAATACAGAATTGGTTGAATACGTTGGTGTGCTACTTATACGAATTTAATGGTGATCTGTAAATCTATAGTAATTATTATTTGTAATTATTCTTTGTTTGTAATTATTTTGTATATATTTTTTGAATTTTTTGTAATTATTCTTTGAATGTATATACAATCTTCGAATTATTATTCTTTGTATATTAATTTTTTTTTATCATATGAAACAATTGCTTATTAAATTACGACGTAATTTGAAATATCGTAAAATATTTGTAAATACTGTTTATTTCAGATCGACAACATTACAAAATAGTCTAATATCATTTGGAGGAACCTGACTTGTACAATATTGACGAGTATGTCGTAGTGATTTGCACCTGCTGCATCTACGCGATCGAGGAAATTATCTGGTAAATGGTATTCTATACTTACTTGGACGTCCAGAACCACGCGGTTCAACGAGAGGTGGCGACAATATATTGAATGAGCGACTATGGTCAAAACTTCTCATTCGGCTTCGTTTGGTAGAGAAAATATCGTCTCAGCATACATAGCTCTCCAATAATTAGCCTTGTAATAATGAGAGCACAATGTTCGCTGCAAATCCTCGATAAATAGCCACCACGACTGCATACTCAATTGGAAAACTCTCCAACTGAAATTTTTTACAAGTGCATGTGTCATCAATCAAGTCTACCTTGTATGTTGTATTACGTGCACATTTCACAAAGAAGCGCGCTCGTCCTGTGGTTCCACATTCAACTTTCTCGCAAGTTCTACAGCCTTGAATAGCTTTTCTTCTTGCGCAAGGGCTAGTACACGTGCAATTCTATGATTTCACATGTCGATCGTGAAACCACTGCTGCAACTTGGTACAAATATTCTCAGTCAGTGCAATGATGGGTAATTCTCGATCTCTCTTGAATAATACATTGAAAGACTTTGCGTTATTTGAAATCATCATGTTGTATGACGTCCTGAAAAATATGATCGCACCCAATGTTCAATCCCCATTTTCGTTAGATAATCACATGCCTGAAATGATTTACTTCCTATTTCAACCATGAACTTATAACACTCTTCAACACTGTAAGTCAATCGCTCTCCTGAATAATGAAATAATACCTTTGCCTTGATGCCTAGTCTTCAGGTTGATTTGTATATGGTACATGCAATACTCATGATGTGCATCAAGAAAATCTTCAACGATAGATTACAAATGCAAGGTCCTCGACTTCCCCGATTACTTTCCTCAACTTTGTAAAGAATCACCGCATCGACAAATCATTCTCACTATCAACTATGTCGAATGCAAAAGGGTAAATTTGAATGTTGACATCTTAACATGTAGAAGTAATCAACTTGCCTTGATATTTAGATTTCGGTGTTGTACCATCAACTAGAAATAGCGGTCACATAGCATTTCGAAATCCTCGAATGCATTATCCAAGAGTCATGAAGAAGGATTTGGAGCAATTCTCACCCTCCGTCTCAATAAAAAATGACTAGTCCGGATTAGTTTTCTCCATGTTATGGCAATACCTAGCCAATTTAGCATAGTTTTCTTCTGCAAAGCCCATTAAATCCTCAAATGTGTATTCTTTGGCCTTCTAGGCCTTCTGGTAGCTCAATACTATATCATACTCTCGACGGACATCATTAATGATTTTCGATGATCTATAGATCATCCACGAATCTTGATACTTGTGCATTATTAGTCAACTAATAAACTAAGCTCGGGCTTGCTTGTGATCATTTCACTGTATCCCCATTTCACAAGTATGTTCTCATGTATGCTTACAAACTACAAAGCACTCATTCGTGTTCATTTTCATCGTTCGCAAACGCCAACAGCAACAGTCGTCTACGCAGGCAATCGTCAATAATGACTTGTTCGATTTTTTTACTTTGAACTCAAAGTTGTATTTCGGTGCAATTAGGTGCACAGGTTCCTGCAAATCTTTTTTCATTTCAAACAAATATTCGACATATAAATTATCACTATCGAGAACCACACGCGAGAAGTTAGAGGACGGTTCACAGGATCTAGCCCCTGAGATCACACCCCGCTCATGTCTCTATCGGAATAAAGCGATCAAATTCTCATTTGTAAAAGTATTTACATTTTCACAATCGTGTCGTAAACTACAGGGAGAATTCTATTCATAACTGTCTCTGGAATAACCACATCATTTTCACGAGATATCTGGGCCGTATTCCAAAAATCATTAGTATTATGATCCCTTCCATCCGAGTCCATATGTTCACCTTCGATGACATCATTCCTCACTAAAATCACGCAAAGAGAAGTCGTGTGCTTATTGGTCAATTCAAACAGATAATTCACTTCGACATCAGAATAAATCGTCATAGGTGGAATCGGAATATCATGCTCGCTGAATTTAAATTTCAGTTCCATGTTATACTGAGAGGGATCGACATCTAGCTTATTCTGTAAAATCATTATAGAGTTCTGCATATGATGTACTTGATGTTATGGAAATATGGATGCTACTACGTCTATCGCTCATCCATTTTCATGCCCATCGATCTCTTTTGTCCAATTCGAAATCACCAAAGTAACAAATTGGGACTACAACCATATCTACATGACGAAATAGAATTTTTAATTGCAAAAAAAAATATCAACGATAATAAAAATAGCAAAAAAACAAAAAAAACATCCGAAAAACAGTCGGCCAAACAGTTACGGCAGGCTGTTTGGCTGACTATGGCCATAACAACCGACTATTTTGTCGGCTATTCGGTCGATTACAACCAACATACAGATGAATTTTTTAAGTGGAAAGTATTTAGTTTTTAATCGTTAACTAAAATGGTAGTAATGTCTGTTAAACAAAATCGACTTTTGTAATTGTATAATGTACTTAATTGTAATTTTTTCTTTTATCACTGAATAGGCCATTGTGATAATATTAACAAACAAGCCAAAGTGGAATTTTAGTGGTTTGACCACCCATTTTTAAAGTACCCCTTCCTCACAATTTGGGAGCATCTTCTAAAATGCTCGTTTTAGGCCTCTCTTAGATATAAAGTTTGATCTTGCAATTTAATCAAACTTTACATTTTTCTATGTTTAGACTTAGGCCTTTAAAAAACTAGTTTTTTTTTTCAAAAAATAATCAAGTATTTTATTAATCAATAGATAATACACGGGAAGTGTATTATCAATTTAAATTTGGAAAAAAAATGAAACTGGCCACCTATCTATATGCTCAGGAGTTGTAGCGTTAAACCAATTATATAATATCAAATAAAACAATTCTCTAATCTACTCCATTGTTCGTGTTTGATCATCAAAACAGCAGCTGTTCCTTTCTCTCCACACACACCATATGATGCAACTCGGAATAAGGTTCTATATAAGTTTGCTATCCTTATTGCAGAACTTTCTCCTCCATGCCTTTAACACGTCTTCCATACATCGCGGAAACACCCATTTCATGAGTTGAGAAGTCGAAACATCGTTCCATAGCAAACAAGCAACATCACAATGAATAAACA